GCCCAGGGCAGGAGGGTTAAACCTTGGCACACCACTTTGGAAAGGTTGCTGACCCCGATATATCCCTTCTTGTGGCCCTGGGTGCTGCTGAAAGTTTATAAAACCCTGGCAACCGTCATAAAGAAACCTCGCAGGTCCAGTTATCAGAGGCTACAAGTTACAACTGAAGTTTTTATTGTAAAGACAGATGATGCTTTACACTCTCAGACAAGATTGTGGTCCACAGTAGTCTACACAAAAGCAGAAACATTTTATGCTTCAACCACAATAGAGGAAGTCATTATACATCTGAACCATACAGAAAACATCAGAAATCTCAAAGGAGGAAATAATTTGTCTGTACACCATGTCTTCATGCCAGCCTCATCGTCAAGGTGGCAGGTAGAAGATTTGACACATTGGTCAAGAGCAGCATGCAAATTTTGCTGAGTCTCCTGTTATATCCCTTCCATTAGGCCCTAATGATTAGAGAATCATTTATTTCAGTTCTGTGGGATTTAGAACATCGCCACTATTGACCATGAGATGTTGGAAATCACAGAGGTGGGTTTTTTCATCCAAATCCTGATCTTCCCCATCCTGTAGGGGACCCCTCGGACAAAACCATGTTACATCAGGAAATGCAATCACCTTTAAATATTGAAGCAGTGGAAATAATAAAGATCGTTCCGTTGTCAAACATTACCATAAGTAGCCCTATGTCATTTTAGAGATTAACAGAGGCGCCTTGTGTGGTTTTGCCACAAAAACTCATGATAATATATATTTTGTAAGTCTCTAAAGTGACACAAGATTATTCATTGTTTTTAAAGTTCCAGACTACCTCCCTGAGACTTTTTAAATATTACCATGTCAGGCATACTGAGTCTAGCAAAAATCTGCTACCATAAGTAGCCCTATGTCATTTTAGAGATTAACAGAGGCGCCTTGTGTGGTTTTGCCACAAAAACTCATGATAATATATATTTTGTAAGTCTCTAAAGTGACACAAGATTATTCATTGTTTTTAAAGTTCCAGACTACCTCCCTGAGACTTTTTAAATATTACCATGTCAGGCATACTGAGTCTAGCAAAAATCTGCTTCCCAGTCTAGGGGATTTACTAACTGTAGTTTCTTCTAGTAATTTTATCTCAGGGAAGTGAGGAAAAAAAGCCTAAAACAAGAACATATTTTTTTCCAGTGAATATAAACAAATCTATTCCTATTTTGTTCCTGGGTGTCAGTTTTTCCTGGGCTACCAACATGGGCTCTTTTGCTTGACTTGACCTATATTTTTGGCATATGTGACAAGTCTTAACAGCTTTCTTGGTTATGTCCCAGGTCCTTCTTGTAGATTTTTTGATTCTCAAATGACCTCAATGTATCTTTTTAAGCATATTTTTCTATCTTGATGCCTTAAACAAAATCTCATCTAGGACTGAGAACTCCTTCTTTAAATGATGACAGAAGGTGGAAATATGCATCCCGCCAGTCTATATGCTAATAGCCAAATTACTTTCTGTAGGATCTCTTCTTGAGCAGGAGCTCTGGCAAATTTTTTATGCATCCAAAAGCCCGGCATTTTTTTTTATGCATCTAAACTCCAATGGGAGTGTTAAGTGTGAAAGAAAAGCAGAGTCCGAGTCCCTATGGAGTGATTTTCATAGGTTCTTTCAAAATCAGTGTATAACTTTTATGAAGGTGTCCTGATTTTAAATTCTTATTTTACAATATTGCTACATAATTTTAATTACCTATGCAGTGATGACATGTTTAAGATAATGGTAAAAAACATGGTCAAAATAAAGTTCAGCTTGTTTATTAGCCATAACTTTGTGTAACTTCACTGGTTTAAAAAAATGCTTAAGTTGATGGAGCATGGAAGAGATTTACTTCAATTTGTATAATTTAATCTAAAATGATCAACATAAGAATTGGGGACAGGAAAAATAAGAACATACCTTGGCTTTTAACTCTATTTAAAATATTAGACCAAACTGTTTACATGGGTATAGTTCATGGGGGAAAGGCAAAAAGGAATGGCAAGTACACAGCTTTAAAATAATGTTCCCTATTAAATAGGGGCACTTCACATGCAGAAGTTCCTCCCCCTCTTTTGATACTGCCAAACAGTCCCTATCAAGATTGTCTTTTAGCTCTGCCTTTTACAGATGCTTTTGAAGAGCAAAAATCTTTATTTTTCAATGCATTAGATCACACCAAACAGCAATGTCCAAACATGGGCTAGCTGCACTACATGGGGAGACCAGGCATGTGAGCAACATGACTGTAGGTGTTGGTCCTAGTTCATGCTGTTCTATAAAATCATCATCATCTATGGCTTAATCACAAATCAACCTCTGGATTTTTGAGTGTGTGTGTGTGTGTGTGTGTGTGTGTGTGAGTGAGAGAGAGAGTGAGAGAGCACGTGCAAGAGTGTGTGTGTGTGTGTGTGTGTGTGTGAGAGTGAGAGCGTGCAAGACTGTCCTAGCTGATTTGAAGCAAAATGCAGGACTAGGTAGCACTTTAAAGACTAACAAGATGGTTTATTAGATGATGAGCTTTTGTGGGCCAGACCCACGAAAGCTCATCATCTAATAAACCATCTTGTTAGTCTTTAAAGTGCTATCTAGTCCTGCATTTTGCTTCAGCTACCCCAGACTAACACAGCTACATTTCTATTACTAGCTGATTTGGTTCACTATGGAACAGGAGTGTTAAGGTGGTGATACAGACATCTCATTTGTATTGGACTTGAGAGGATTCTGACTTGCATTTGAGAAATGGAGTAGTAATACTCCACAGACTACCATGCTACATCTCATACTTCCAAGCCCAATTGACTGAGTTATTTGATACAGTCTAGGAATTACTTAGGCTTCTTATTATGGGTTTATTGCTGATGTCTCCGGAACTGACTGGGCAACTCCTGACAAGCACCAGACCATGTCAGACATTTACTGTTTTAAGATGCAGAATAGGTCCACAATGTATTTTTCGCTGAGACTGAGAAAGTAAATATGTACACCTTTGTCACATTCTCACTAGCATTCTTTTTACATCAGAATATATTTCTGATGCTATCAGTGTTATGCAGCCTGACACAGTTCTGTGCAGTTTATGGCTCCCTATCAGTGAAAAACAGCAAGCAAATGGTCTGGTAGCACTTTATAGACTAACAAACATGTAGATGGTATGATGAGCTTTCGTGGGCACAGCCCACTTCTTCAGATGATCAGTTCTTATCAGTGATCAATTCTTATCAACCATTCATATTTGGATGAAACCTATGAGTTGGAGAGGTTGACTTTTCCCCTTTTATAACTAAAAGGGCTCCACTGTGCCCTGTTTTAGGGG